GGCAAACGCCTATCGCATCGGAATCATGAACGTGAAATACAAACAAAATGTTATTGTTTTGACAATACCCTGTAGCTCGGCTTGCAAGTCATAAGATTGTTGAGGAAGTGGAATAGAATAGAGAGTGAGAAGAAATATATTGAGCTGGAAATTATTTCCAAGTATCCAAGTATCTATAAGCTGCTGATACACTTTTATACCTCAAATGCTTTACAGGGTATTCAGCAGTTGATTACCGTCAACAATCAACTAATTGTTATTCGAACTAATTATAGATAAATTTGTATGTACACAAGCAAAGGCATCCATAGCCAATGGCTGATTAGGCCTAGCTGTAGGGTATTCAATTGGCGATTACTTTGCTCACTCACTGTGATTATTTTGATGACTACTATTGTCGTTGCTGTTGTTGTTGTTCGATGTATCGATAAATAAATTGAATTAAAGTGAAATCAGTTGCCCTTGGCTGCAATAAATTAATGAAAATGCGACAGGCGACACAATAAAGCGACAAAACTGAGCGAAAGCCACAAAATATAATCAAAGAAATCAGCATAAATCAATGGAACCAATTCCATTGAGGAAGTCCGTCATTCATTGAGCTTCACTTACTGTTGCCAATTTGTAAATTGAAATTGAGGCCATGATGCAACCGGTTGCCCGCCCAAACAGTCATCAAAAGCAGCTTGAGTGGCTTAAGAGCTTGAGATATAAACTTATATTTAATTAAAGTCAAGTGTTGCGCTCTCTGCCTTTGACCCGAATACAAAGCGGGCCGAGCGTCGGTGGGCTGAAAAGAAACTTCTTCTTTATTTTCGGTCATTCACAAACAAATTTGCAACTTGTTCAGTTTTTGGATTTACTTAGAATTAGAGCATGTCAAGGGAAACTTATGCGATATATATTGCCAAAGGGTTTGGCGTCCTTGGCTAGTTACAAACTCATGAAATGCTAAATGTGCGGCAAGAATTTTAGGGGCCAAAAACACACACACACACACACACACACTCATAAACACACCGATGGGGTTTTAGTTTCCAAAGTCAGACCTAAGTCCTAATACGTATACGTAATTTTGTAGTCGAGGCACTGGGAAAATTTCAATTTAATTAGTTGTCAAGTTGGTCTTAAAGTAAAGTCTTAGAAATTGAAAGAATTTTTGGAATGCTCAAAAAATATTTAGTATAGATCATAAGACCAAATTCTTTGAATATAAAATTTAATATAGCACAGCAAAACTTCATTTCACTCTCTTAGAAATTTCACTTTGTGACAGTTTTCATTGCTATTAAAAGTTTTGCTTTATATTCCTGGCAACTAACTATAGAGATATGGGCGAAATATTAGAAAAGTTGAATACTGAAAACTTGGCTAAATATAATAAATATGCTCATATGAAAGGAAAAGAGTAAACTCCATAAGGATAATTTTATGACTTTTGCTTCGTTTTTACTCAACCCAATCGAGCATAAAACGAGCCATTAAACTGACAAGCTTAACTTAGCCCTCGACATAGGCTTTAGCGACACCTTTGAGCAGCAGCAGAAAGTCAGGAATTTAATGCATTGCCATAAGCTCAAGTGAGTCGCTTGCAAATCTCAAAACGTTTTTTGAAATTAAGCACAAATCTGTTTTTACAGCCTCCATGGGGCAAATCATCGGCACAGCGGCTACGAATACCTCGCAGGCCACCTGTCATAAAGTAAAACTCTGGCAATTTATTTATGGCGTCCGGATGAGCAACATTCAGTCACATGCAACGGCGTCATCAGGAGCGAGCTCAGGGCCCAATAAGCGCAATCGAATGAAGATAAATACAAATTTAATGGGCCACAAGCCGCATTTCATAAGCTTATAGCTTATAGCCGATGAACAGCTCTGCGCTATTTGGCAAATTATTAAATTCAATTTCATTTTGCAATTTCGCAATTGGAGAGTGACATTTCGCAGAGAGGACACACAGAGAAATAATCGCATTACTTACGTCAAGTGGCAAAATATTGTTGATGCTCACCGCGATTCCATGTGAGCCCTGGCCGCAACTTTGTATCATCGGCGTGTTTGCATTTACATTTCATTAAAACACACGAACAGGTAAACAAGCCGCAGCCCCCGCCAGCCGAAAGCCACTCACTCAACAAGGATGATGACTGCCTGCTAGTAGCTAACAGACTTGATGGCCGCCATTGAGAATCGTGGAAGGACGATGACAACAGCCACGACGACGATGACGACGACGACGACGACGACAAGTGGCAAATGACAAGGAAAATGTAGAGGGAGGAGCTCTATTTTGTATATCCTTGCCACGGGGGAGAATTCTGATTTTGTTGCAAGACATGTAACATACAAATATAAAGCAATCGAGGTGGAATAGTTTGTTAATTAAGGCAGGTCATTATGCTCCTAAATGGCTTTCAACTATCAGGCAAGTTTGACAAATAACTTGGGGATTCCTAATCACGTAATTCATTATATAACTTTCTTTACCTTTGGAATAGTCATTAATATAACAATTGATTAATATTATAAGCCAAGCAATCGAAGCAGGAGCTTCAATATTTCCTTTCCTATAATTGTTTTCCTGCTTTATTATTTTATAAAACAAACATCTATTCTTTAGTCCTCCCATCTTTTTTTTATTAAATTAAAAAATAATTAGAGTTAATGATTCTTGGGCATTTGATAAGCAAACCCATGTTGCCTGACTCGGCATCAAAGTTATATGATTTTTCTTTTAAAGTAAAAGTACTCTATTGACTCTGATTAGTTTTACGCCTAACTGTTATATCTTTCATCCATCTTAAAATTCTGTCTCTTATAGAATAACCAATTGAAAACTCCATTTACAAATTGTATATAATTTTCATTCCAAGGAAACTCGCTTTACCAACCAAACACAAACTTCTCTTTAATGACAAATATAAATAGCAATTATTTCAGAAAAAACACATTTCGTTCAACATAAAAAAACAATTTAAATGCTTTGCAGTTGAAACGCGATACAGTTTAGGTCTGTTCAACCATATGTCACAACAGGATCAGATTGCCTCAGCGATTGGGTGTTATAGATACAGACATTGGGTGGCAACAGCTTCAAACCCCTTTCAGAATATATGTATTTGTGTATACATGATTTATTGCTTGGCAGTGCAGCTGAATCATTTTGTTTAGCTGCCATAAAAAACGTGCTCAAAAAATTTGCTTAACTCAAAGGTCTTGTTCTAGCTGAGCTAACGAAAAGCCTTTGACTCTTTTAATCTTTTCGAACATTGCTAATTTACATCTTTATATAAAGGGGCGTGTGGTCCGCACACACCTTCATAACTTGATAAATTCTTAATATGTTTCGCTTTTTATTTGACTGCAACTGTACATGTGTGCGTGTGTGTGTATTTCAAGGCACTTCTTATGACCTGGCCAGAGTGTGGAAACGTGACTGGCCCGAGGCGACGGCGACGGCGACGACGATGACGGCGGTATTCGGATTGCGCATACGGCGCGCGTCTAGCAGCTGAATGAAAATGAAGTGAATGCCTCAATTAGTTTATGTTACGCCCGAATAAACACACGTTAAAAGTGCGTGTAAACAGAGCGGCGAAATAATAACGCCTGGTACGATGGGCAAACAATAAAAGCACTGACCAAATTAGGCAGCCAGCACGCCACGCCTATAGCGCCCTAGATGAGTGACCGCCAAGCTCAACAAAACCAAACCGACAGCCCGGCCGCCCGACCGCCCGCTCAACCACCCATCGCAAAACAAACAGAACTGTCACTTGTCACTGGCGCCTGTGGGGCAGGCGGCTTAGACAAAGGTAAGTTGGGTGTGGGAGGAGGCGGTGGTGCAGCCAGAGGTGCGCTCCGGGCCGCTGGTCAGATAATTTCCTTTGTTCTGTATGGCAAATGCTTTTTTATATTTTTTCCATTTTTTTTTTTACAATTTTTTGTTATTTTCTTATTTTTTTTTTTTTGTGTTTTACTGGAGGTTCTTGTCAGCTATTTTTCCGCTTATTTTATCACGTTTTGTTGCCTGTTTATACACATTCTGTTATGCCCCTCCATTGTGCTCACTTGTGAGTGTGTCGCAACTCAGGCTCAGACAGGTAGCAGCAATATGCAAATCAAACAAAGAGCCCCGCGCACAGGAAGCGACGCTGACAGCGCCGCCAAATGGAAGCTGAGGAACGCGAGTGCCCATCAATATGGATTTCACGTGCCTTCACACTGGCTGAGAGGGCAGCGCCGCCGAGGGCGACAGCTGATGCCCTAACAAGACGTTGATCTAATGCAATCACCTCAAATTGTGACATTGGCAAGCGGCGTTTGTGTCATGTCATTTAATATATCACTCGCTTATATTTTGTTAACAAAATATTAAAGTCGCTTTAAATATAAATAAATTACATTTATACTTATTTACTTTTGTAGTGTGTAAAGCGTGTATTTGATTTATTTACGGATTATTTAATTTTGTAATATTTTGTAAATTAATTTAAAGATTATTTACTTTTCAACTTTAGTTTATTTATTTTTTTTTTGTATTTTATTTACTGAGAGAATACAAATTTTATTACTTGATCATATATAAATTTATTCATCTGAGTATTATCATAAATGTTGATGTTGAATTTGTTTGTTTAATTTCATTTTCAAAAATTTTACGTCCCTTTAAAAACGTCTTTTTGCGCTTGTTTCACACAGGCAAAGTTTATGTCTTGAAATAAATTCCATTTATTCCGCTATATTTTTGATTTATAAACAAACTTTGATATGGTAAAAATATACTTCAAAGCTGTCAAATTTGCTTTGTGCGGATTTTTATTGTTTTATTTATTTGATTCACCAAAATCTGAGGTTCTCTCTGCAACGAGCAGTAAATTCATTTCTATTTTCGTATTTCATTTATTTATTTGCATTGTTTTGTTGTAAACAAACAGGTAAATTGGCTGTCATAATAAAGCTGATTAGATCGTTTGTGGCTCAAAACGGCAACTAACCATTTGATTTCCTTTGCACCGAATGTTAGAAACAATCGCGTATACGCCTAGAGTGCCTCGTGCATTCGACTCGTTGTCGCTGAAACATGCGCGTCGCGTGTGCTCTCAACTCAACGTCCGCGTTTCGACTGAGACAAACAGCAGTCGAGCATACACATACACACACACACTCACGCATACCAGCTCAGCTGCCAGAGGCTGCGCCGAGTGATGTTAGCCGAGTGGCCGAGTTAACAGTCGGTTAGCAGACCTTTAGCAGCAAGAGCAGCAGCAACAGCAGCAGCAACAGCTGAGCTGGTAATTCATTCATAATTATTTTGAGTGAATTTCGGTACTTGGGGGCGCAATCTGCTGCGCTGCGAATCAATTTACTTAAGGAAAAATGTGCCACTGGGGAGCAACTGGGCATCGCGTGTCCTAGGCGCAGATATTAAGCAGACAATTCAAGAAATGCCTATGGCATATACACAAACAAATACATATATACAAATAAATATACAGATATATATGCAAAGCAGCAGAGCAATAACCCTTAGTGGAAGTAAAAGTTGACCTTTTTTTGCTGGAAATAAAAAATAACATGCAAAGAAATAAATGCGCGTGAAATGTCAAAATCAGTGTGGAGCCTAGTAGCCTAGGAGTCCTGGAGGGGAGGCCAAAAAAAAAAATAAATAAATAAAAGCAACAACAAAATATGTATATAATAAGAAAACATAGAGCAGAAAGATGACAGCGCATAAACAGAAAACAAGCAAATGCCAATGCCAATGCCAAGGCAATCAAGAAAATTTGCTTCAACAAATGGCAATGGCAAATAAGAGAGCGCAAAATACAAGAAAGTCAAGTGTTTGCTCGAGCTCTAGATGATGATGACGATGTTGTTGCCTTAACACACACACACACTCACACACAGACACTTTCACTTTGGCTGCCTTTGTGGCTGCCCAAAACTAACCATAAGCTCGTAAGCGCTTTGATATTCCTGTGGGTTCCCTGGCAGCCATCGCCCAAGGCACTTAAAATTGCAACTTAGCTCATGCAACAAAATGTTGCATCTGGTAATTGCTGCAGCTACTGGCGAGAGTCCCCCTGTCTGGCTTCATCACAGTGGCCACAGTTTGCATTGTGCTGACAATTTTTCAAGCTATTCTTCTTACTTTTGCATACCCATAAAAGTTATAACCCAAAGCTGGATTTATTGTGCTTAGAGCTTAGACAAACAATTTCCAAATTAGACCACAGCCAGGGCCAGCCACACGCACAGCTCCGGCGCCCATCAGCTCACCCCACTTCATCTGTTGACTGTCGCCCGTCTGTCTGCCTGCCTCCTGCTGTGCACTGCAGGCGGCCGGGGCTGAGCTTCAGCCTGAAGACTTTGAATATGTGCTCTGTGTGGGTTTATTAAACTAAATTGAGCCCCCTCTTTCACTAGCCCCCCCAGACCGCCCTGGCCCTTTGGCACCCGCCGTTATCTGTCGAATGCAACTTTTGGCTTTACCATGTCAAATTGTCGCCTCAATGCTCAGAGTCCTGAAAGTAGATAGTGTGTGAAGGCAGAAAATATATACAACAGCAGCAGCAGCCGCAACAATAAAACAAAAAGCCACCAAACAAAAGAGAAAAAAGACAAAAACTTTGGCAATTCTAAAAGTTGAAGAGTTTTTTGTGGCTTTATAAAGAGCTATTGATTTATTTCTCAGTAATTAATGAAGTTCGTATTAGGTTAAGTTTAAGCTCAAGCTTTATCATTCAACTGAACTTCACGTTCTCCATATGAATTCAAATTGTCTGTCTGCAATTAATCATGAGAAGCTTTTATATTTTTTCTTCTTCACGTCGATATTGAGTGAATATTATTTATACGGTTTATTTAGATCCATTAATGAGCTGTGGGTGGCATTTTCCCACACAATTCGCTACATTCTTTTTAACCTGGCCAAGCGGAATTCCATTGATACTTCTTAAACACACACGCACGCCCCGCTGACTTTTATGAAACTAACCACTTAATCACCATATCATATCGCTACCATAAAAAACCCAACAACAACTTCATCAATATTTATGTGTGTGTGTGTGTGTGTGCGTGTGTGTGTGTGTGTTGTTAGTGCACACATGAGATTTAAGCATTTCTTCCGTATTCTGACCAGGCATCGCTTCGAATCGAATCGTACGCTGCTGTCTATCTGCCTGAATACTATTGACTAGCTGATTATTTTTATTTGGTTCTCGCAAACGCTTCGAGTGAGATATAAAACTATGGCACTGCCCTGCCTACAGGGCAAATATAAACATTTATATACGATTAAGTGTGCTGTTTATTTTGATGTTTGGTTTAGTGCTTCCGCTCCTGCAGCTTCTCTATGGCTACGTCTGGGCCGCCGAGGCAGGGCTGTGTCTGCTCAGATATTGCGTATACGCCGCATTAAATGGCCCAGAAAGAGATGGACAAACAGAGATGAGAGTTTCGCAAGCAACAAAGCGCAACAGAGAGGGAAACAAAAAGAAAACGAAAACAAACTCTTGGCATATTAATGTCGAAGTGCTTAGAGTGCCGTTCATATCGAAATTGAATTCAAACGTTGTGCGGCGACACGGTAAATCAATAAAAAACTAATCAAAAAATCAAAAGCAAACATTGGGAATTTGTTGAACACCAAATTGAGTGTCAACAGATTATCTATCAATATATGAGTGCGTGTGCTTGTGTATGTGTGTGTGTGTGTATATGTGTGGCTGCCTGTAAAGAAGTTGAATAAAGTTCATAAAAAAGAAAACAAAAACATTTTACAAAAAGTCAAATTAACGCTTAGCTTCAACCAAATTTCATTTCATTTCAAATGCAAACCAATTAAATTAAAAGCATAATATGCCAATGTTGTCTGTCACTCATAAATACCCTGTGAACAACAGCGAAATATAGGGTATGCTGCATATTAAGAAGAAGATTTTCGGGAATTTGACACTAGTTAAATTTATATTTAAATTACAATTTTAAATATATTTTCTATTGAAAATTGATCTCTGATGTAAATCCAGTTTGAGGTAATTACAAAAAATAATGTTTATATTAATTAGTAATATAATTAATAGAATATTAAGTATTAGTAGTTCATACTTAAATGCCTTTAGTCTATAATAATATAATGTTGGGCAGTTTCTAATGCAAAACAAAAAAAAAAATTATTAAAATAAATATGTATGTATTATCATTAATAAAAAGATTGGGCAATCAGATGGCACGACAAACTGATTGACTGAAATGTTTTATTGGCATTTCCGATTTCTATTACCAATTTCATGATAATACGATTTAATGATAATATGTTAGATAAGTTAGACTAAGAGCTATAAATCACTTAATATTAATATTAATATTATTAAATGGATTTAATCAATTTATAAAGCTTAATGGATTCGATTTACGATAAATTCGAGAGTATCTCAACGCAGAAACTCCAAGTTTGTATGCTTATTTTTAAATTGTGTTTTATTTTAACCACCCGCAACGACATTTTCGGTCATTTTACAATTTCAATTTATGCAAATGCAACAGCCGAGCATATTACCAGGGAGAGAGAGAGTGAGAGAAAGAGAGAGTGAGAGAAAGAGGGGGAAAGACAAACTGAAGCCACAGGCTTTAATGCTCATTAGGATGTTGCCGCAAACCCACTCAGCATATACAAGGGTCGCATTTTCTGTGGGACTGAAGAGCTAAGCAGTGTTTATATATAGAGAAAGAAAGAGAGAGAGAGAGAGAGAGGGAGAATGTCGCCTGCATATTTACAATTGCTTGTGTATGAGAATAAACACAATGCTCCAAAATTACATTTTTATCAAGAGTTTATGTCGAGTGCGCAGCTCGCCAATTCCACGGCCAAAGCCAGTTGCCATTTAAAATGCAAAATGTCTGGTCTTGGCGCTTTAAGCCAGCCGAAATGCATGCAATTAATTTGAACTTACGACTCAACGAGTCACTGGCAACGGCTGTTGCATTCCTCTGGCATTTCACTGCTTGCGGGTCTTACGATATTTTAATGACGCTGCTACCAATGACTGCTGCCTTGGGAGAAGAAAACCCCCATTTATAACAGCCGAATAATAGAAAACGGTTTTATTCAACTTTTTAAGAGCGAGCTTTAACTGGCAACATTGAAGCAGCGTAGATCGTGGTGCAGTGAATTGTTGGAATGGGATGTTGGAGGAGCAACATATAGGATTACCAAGTATAAATGAAATAAAAAATAGTTGCAATTAAACAACATAAGTCTCATGTGATATTATTAAATTTAATATATTGTCATATCATAATCAGCTCTTATAGGTCTTCTTCTATACTTGCTGGTATGTCAGCAAATTTCAAACTTCGTTTGAATAAGAGCAATAAGATTGTACTCAAAAATTCCCAGCCTTCATTAAGAACATGTTGCGAGAGTAGAAGAGAATCTCTAGGGCATTATGACTAAATTTTCTGGCTGAATATTTAGCAGCTAAATCTTACAGCAAAGATAGAAGTTTAGAAATGATTGTGAATATTCTCTTAAAAAATAATAATATTATTAGTTTTTTCTTAGAAAGTTCTTCAATATTAAGAAAAATGATGAAGTTAAATAAAATGATGAAACCCATAACTATTTTTGTTTTATTATTTTTTATTTTCATTTAAATTTCTAAATCTTATTCTTATACTATGTAACTATAAAATATAACTCATATAATATTGTGGAACTGTGTTCTCAACATAAGCAGCTCCGTCTGCATTTAATGCAATTCGTCGCCTGAGTTGGAAGCGACCGGAATTTTGGCCTGACCCATGCGGCACTTCAGGTTCTGGTTGATGTTGTCTACCATGTCGAAGGCTTCGATGATCAGTTCGGCCTCGTTCTGCGCCTTTTCGCTCATCTGCTCGAGGCTGCGGCGCAGCTGTTTGTGCTCCCCGCTGGCGTCTCGCTGCTCGGCACGCTGGAACAGCGTGTTGCTGGCCCGGGCAAAGAGAGCAGCCGTGCCACTGCCGTGTTGCAGCTGACGGTCGAGCTCATCGGGCAGCGGGAACTCTAGCTCCAGGGCGAAGCGGCGCAGCTGCTCGAACTTGTGCTTCATCTGCTTCTCATTCTGGCTGTAGCTGATGACGACAGCTTGCAGCACCACCTCGCTGCCAGGCAGCTGGATGTAGGCGATGACGTCCTTGAAGTGATTCTCCTGGCGCCACACTGTGCGGCTATAGGGGATTACCTGGTAGACAACCATTTCGGGCTCGGGGCTGTACTGCACGAGGAGCCAAGTGTTCTCGTCCATCGACTCCTGGGCGGCGTCCAGTTGCTCATCGAAGGCGTGATCGAAGCAGCGCGCCTTCAGGTGCAGCAACACCTTCTCCATATAGTTGCGCTTCTCGTAGGCGTACAGCACATGGCCAATGCAGCCCGGGCCCAGTTTGACCAGCGGCGTGCCACCCAGCTCGGGCTTGGTGCTCAGCCAGGCAACGCGGCTCGGCGATATCAGCTTGTGCACCAGGCGCTCTCCCGCTGCATCCTCCTCGTTGTATTGCACTAGCAGTTGGCGTGTATCGTCCTCCTCCTCCTTCTGCTCCTTGCTCATGGCCAAGAGGGCGGCGTCGACCAGCTTCCGCTCATCGGCGGCCAAAATGAGTTTCGCCTCCAGCTTGACACCATTCACCCGAAACTCCACGAACCGCGTCATATATTTATCGGAGACGTCTGTCTCCAGCAGCTCCATGCTGTGCAGCACGCAGTAGCGCTTCTTGCCATTCGGCTCACCGTTGTCCATGGCGCCTTCGTCCACCTCGGCCAGAAACCAGGAGAGACGCGTTGCTGCCGCAGCACCTGTATTACCGGCCACGCCACAAATTGCCGAGTCATCCAAGCCACTGTCGTTGCTGATGTTGCTCATGATTGCAGAGTTATTAATGATTTTGTAAGTTGTGGGTATCGAAACGTTCTGTTGCTTTGCTCTTGGCAAACTGATGATCTGTGCTCGCCAACGCAGCCTTTTAAGGGGCAGCTCCTGTTGCCCTTTCTGACAGGTAGTCAAGATATCAACGCATTATGACCTGAAAGTTGCGCGGATTAACCCATTTGCTGATTTGTCGCGCAGCTGCGAGGGTTATCGGCCATAAAGGATTTTGTCACCCACTTTCCAGGCTTCAGACTTGCTTAACCTATTCGTACTGTACCTGCGCTGAAAAGGTCTGCTATGCATTACTTATTGTTATTGCCTTAAAATTTTCCATTCGAAATAATGTCACTGTCAATACATTTTGTTCTTTTTTTCTGAGTTTAAAAATATTTCAGTAAGTATGTTATCACGAATCAAGCCTTGAAAATAATTATAATAATATAGGATAGTAAATTAAAGCAGGTAAAATCGAAATACTATCATTTAGGGCCTGAAACATGAAATATATTCTCCTGTAAGCAACATGAGACTAATCAAAAAGCATATATTATTGTATTTGTTTTTATGAAATAATTTATTTTATTTATTTCATAAATGTTGGTGCTTCACATGGATATTTAAAGGATGTGGAATTATGAAAAATTAATATCTATGATTGTAAAAATGTTGAAGATTCATTTACAAATATTTTTTATATCTGGCAACATGTCTAATTTAAAAAAAAAAAAAAAAAAAAAAAAAAAAAACTATTGCTTAAAAAACGTCAAATCAAATTGCTGCAGACTTTCTTTTAAAATTTACTAAAAATTATACAGCGTCTTTAAGACACTAAGTACAAAAAGTAATAGTACTTAAAACATTCATATTTGGTTTTACTTTTGTATGTAAATAAGAATGAAAGTTTACACTTCCTATGTTGCAATCCATTAATTTTTCATTTAAAAATATGCAATAATTAATTATTTGTAAGAAAATATTTTATTTGAACGTTTTGCAAAAAAGATCCAATTGTAGCTAGCCAATTGATAAAAGGTAGGACAGACATTTAAGAAAGTTCCCCAATCTATTGCATATATCGCTTGCTTGATCAATCAGCATTAGGAAAAAAAAAATTTTTTTTGTTAAATGAAATCAGCAATACATATTTTTGCAAACAAATTTAAAGCTTTTATTCTGATAAATTTCCCAGAGTAATTTAACTTACTTAGCCAACGTTCTTATGAATCAGCAATCGTGAAAAGGGTTCTTTGTTGCTGCTCAAATTGATAGCTACTCTATCGGCCGGCACTCCCAGCACTTTGGTGATGAACTCTTGTGTGCGCGAGTCCAGATTGAAGATAGACTCGCTAGTCTCTTCAGCCTCAGATCCAGCCTTATCCCTTGGACTGCTGTGCGGCATAAGCTCAAATGGTATGCCCAGTGGACGGCCAATTGGTGTGATAGTGCTACGCACATCGACTGCACAATAGGTGCGAATGTCATCGAAGAAGCCCTTGTTGACGGCCTCATGGACGGCCGTGTTGGTGGCCAGCAAACAGCCGAGAACTTGGTGCGACGCCTTCAGCTGCACGCTGATGTGATAGACATTGTCAGCACGGAGGAGTATAGCGAACTGAATATCCTTGGGGCTTCGATTCCCCATCAACTTTTTCAGCTCACCGGCTAGATCATGGACCACCAGCTGCTCTCTGTTCGAACAGCTCTTACAAATGTTCGAGGACTGACGACGCAGCTGAATTGGGGGCTCAGTGCATTTACAATCACAGCGCCTGAATGTCTTTTGTAGAGTTTTGCAGGGCTTTATGAGGAATGAGCATCCGTCATGGTGCTGCTTACATTCCGTGAATATCCTGGGATCTAGCGATCTATCAGCAGTATGATAATTCGATTTTTCAGCTGTTAAATTATGCGGACAGTGAGTAGAGGGCTTCGCAGCGAGTCCTGTCTTGGGTATCCTGTAGACCTTCCAATCAGCTTCGCTCTGGCCGCATGCACTCCTACAGCCTTCGTTAAATAGTACAATCAAGTCTTTTGAGTTCTTTTCTTCCGGATTGCAGCTTACATGCCCTTCGGTTGGCCCCAACGCCTTCGATTTCAGTAATGCGATATTTGTATGCAGCTCATTCACTCCGAGCTCAAGTCTGTCAACTTGATGTTTGATTCTGCCTAGTTGGTTATCCATTTTCTGTATGGACTCGCAGCTGTAGTATTTCTCCACCTCGCCGTGGTCCGTGTTGCTAACGACAATCTTTGCTGACCTGTGATCCCTTTCATCTTGTTCCTTTCCATTTTTCTCAGATGTCACAACTATGGTTGGATGCTTGAAATGTTTCTCTGGATTCCAATAGGTTCTTTCATCTTCTGCTATATTTTGCTTATTCAAATTGAATAAGCTCCGATCCTCCAATCGAACTGCTTTGACTGCCAATTGCTTGGAGTCAACCGGCTCAGGTTTACTGTCAGGTGAATCGTCTCGGGTTTGAATGAAGTTTCTCACTTTATAGCCAGAGCGCGCATTTGGCTGCCTGTTGGTTGATGTTGACTCGGATGCCTCACTCGGTCGGTTGATGCTCGCAGAGGTATAATAATACTCAGAGAGAGGTTTCTTGATTTCATTGCGTTCGTGCGGCAGTATGTCGGATCGAATTAAATTGCTCGCATTAGGATCCTGCTGTTTGACGAGTACCTCTCGTGGCTCCGGCTGCTGAGTTTCGACGATTGTGACTCTACGCTTTTTCGAATTGTCCGACAATAGTCGGAGATTATTGATCGGTTCGGTCTGAGTTTCCCTGTGCTGAAAAGCTGGCCTGCTTTTCGGGGCACAGCTATTGTCCTGCGCTGCGATTGGATCCACTTCATCGAAAACGATGCATGTGGGCCGTCTTCCACAACCAGGTAGATGTTGAGTGGCATTCGAGTGCTGCCCTGGCACATCATCGTTGCCGGGACATCTGTGCAGCGATCCGCCTGCAGGTAGGCGAGACTTCTTGTGGATCGCTGTCGGCACTGATCCGCGTTGCCTGTGCATCCAATGCAGCCGGTACAGAGCTCTCAAATATTTTCTATAGGTGCATATGACATCTGCAAAGCGAAGAGCAATAAATCGGGTATGTTGTAGAATTTACCTGATCTCGCTCGTATTGGCTAGGGTATAAAAGAGCGAGGCTTATTAAGCAGGGCATTCAGTCTTCAATTGGACAACAAACGTGAACATGGTGAGTGCACACACTACTCTTGCTCTATTACTAGATCATTTTGAACTCAATTTTCTCTTTCCTAGATCAATCGCCGTCAACGCTTGGAATTTGCGCTCAGCATTTTGCCGTACGACCACAGAACTGTGGAGCTGTCGCCGGCACAGAAGCAGGTGGAGCAAATCATCACACGACTGCGCACGGACGACACCTCCGGCGAGGAGGAGAGCGAGGATGAGAAGATGCGCCAGAAGCAGAGCAGCGCTACCGGCTTCGCCGAGCAGACGATGCGCTGCATCGAGCAAGCCGAAGCCGACGGCGTTGTCTACCCGAAGCCTAAGAAAATGCTGAGCACATTGGCGACGCTGACGCTGGCTGCTGAGAAGCTGCTGAAAACACAGTGCAAGGTGGACGAGGAGAACGTGGAAGAGCAGGACGATTTTAACGAGGACTCGGCCATGGATGCGGAGACGGCACTGGCCAAGCTCGATCGCCGCGAGCTCATGGAGAACTCCATTCAGGCAGTGAACCAAGCACGGCTCAAGATGCTGCAGCGTTGGGAGCGCAGCAAGCGCAAGGCGCTCGACCTGCTCATGCTCGAGATCGAGAAGCTGCAGACCATGGACCAGGAGCATGAGCATCGAGCGGCACACTTCGACTTGTTCCGCGAGGGCACTGACGAGCACAACACCTCCACGCCCAAGACCAACGAGGACGACGACGATGAGAAGGAGAATGACAATGTCATTGAGCTGGACGATGACGATGAGGAATATGTGCCGCACGGTGCTGGCAACAGCAACAAACGCAAGCGGCTGAAGAAGCTCGTGACATCCACGCCGAATGGCAAATTATTTCTTCCGCACTTTGAGTTCGATCGTGATGGCAAGTCGCCCATGGTCACCATTGGGCCGAATGGCACGCAGATATCGCGTGCTACACTGCAGAGCATAAACTGGAGCATGTCTGGCCCGGCCATAACACGAAAGTTGCTCTGTGAGATCTTCGATCGGGACACCTTGGCCTTCCACACGCTCTCTGGCAAGCCCTCGCCGGCATTCAAGGACTGCGCTCGGCCCAGCAAGCAGCAGCTGGACCCACTCAAGGTGGCCGACCTGGTCTACCTGATGACCAACAGCATGCAGATGACGCCCAAAGAGGTGCGCACAGCCATCACGACCAAGTGCGCCGACGAAAACAAAATGCTGCGCACTCGACTGCAGCGACGTCCACGCAAAACCATCTAATCCTAAATATCCTATCGTATTCTAGCGACTAAGACTTAGCTATAGGCCCAGTGCATCGAATTTTAAATTTCTATAGAATAAACACATTTACTGCATATCGAATTCACCTGAGTTAATGTTGCCGTGGGGTGGGACTACATATATCTCGAACATTTGTGCCCATCCAAATGCACATCCAAAAAGAGTTACGAATTTTGAATTTTTAAAACAGAAATATGGACTACTATGTTGGAATTCGACTTAACTGGAAAGCACGATTGATATTTACGAATGTGTTGTACATTTTGGGATATTTAGCTATGCAAATGGAATGACTAATGGGCTCTTCAGATGGAATGCATAATACTCTGATTTTTATAAATTTTTGTTATATTGTTGCATAATATAGCTAATCAATAATAACAAGAAAAAGTTTCTTACTTTTACCTTTTCATTTTAAATGAAATTTATTACTTGATTTTTGGGCTCATCTGAATAGATGGGAAAACTTTATCTGAAGAGGTATACATGTTTCAACTCTAGACAAATGTCAGAATTACTTGAACAGCTGTACATACCTACAAATCATACAAACTATATTTAATAAAATACATTCATGTTTAATTTAATAATTTCAAATATATCATTAAATTATTTTTATAAATTTATAATTGTTTATCTAATTAAAATCAAGTAGACTCTTTAGTTATTGAAAGGACGCATTGTCCTTTCAATAATATACATATGTTATATAATGTCGTATTTAAATATTTTATATTGAAGCACGTCAAGCGTGCCCTTAACACAATCTAAAAAAAACTCTTAATACCTAAAGCAGCTCAACTTAAACACAGTCAGCCTATCGAATTAAAGTAATTATATATTTAAGCAGGCAAACAACGAATGAGTGAGGATTAAGCACAAATAATCTTTGTCGAACGGAAAAGAAATGTACATTAATGTTGATATTTATTTATTCCGAATTGCATTTAGCTGCGCTATGCACTGCAGATAAATCAAAAGGCATTTGCATAGAGAGTGGGCTCGATTAAGTTGTGCTGCTGCAAAGGAATTTAGCAACACTATGCATTATTTATGTGTTCTATCAGCTCGGCAATATAACTCGAGGGTACAAAATATTGCGTAGTTATTTTTTTACTATACTCACACACACACACGCACACATGTTGACAAAATTGATGAGCACTAGAGTAGGTGAAATAAAATAAAATAAATAGAATAATCAATTCTCAGTTGTTGCTGGCGTTGCGTCTGCTCCGTTTGACCAAAGCGTGTCAATGTGTGTGTGTGTGTTTTTTTTTTTTTTTTTAGTAATTTATGCCTTTGAGCTGAGATATTCTCAAGGAGAAAGTGTTGTGTAGATAAGTTGTAAGAGAGGTAACGAATTTGAAGCTTGATTAAGATTAGAGAGAGAGAGAGAGAAAGAGAGTAAAAGAAAGAAAATAAATTTAGGAAACTCTCTACACTATATGTTATTTTCATATTGAGGAACAAATAGTAGTAGGAATAATTAGTAGTAATACTGAGTATGCTAGTAGCTAGAGCTGATATATGCGTACCTTTCAGGCCATATAGAGCATACATTATTCGACTGCCTGACTTAACTCTTTTTGCTTATTTGGTTGGTCAAAAACATTTTGATATGCAAATGTTGTATGTGTGTGTGTGTGTGACTGCCATAAAAAGGCAGTCTGATTTGAATACATCTGCATACGCGCACACACATGCAAATACATAGGCACACATATAAACATACCCATATGTGTAGGTGTATATGTTATGGTATTTTATGTACACAAAAGTCGTTGCCCAGACCTTTGCTCGCACTGACTTGCCGAGTTTACTTTGTGTGTGCAATATGGCATGGAGCTGGCATTTCAAAGCATTTAACAAGCCACAACTAGCAACTAAATTGGCTCAGCAGCGCCGATAAAGATGCCTATAAATAACAAAGCTCAAAAACTCTATTCCACTGGGCATTCATCAAAGCAAAATTGATATCAATCATACGCACCATGGGCACACGCACAGTGAGATGTGCCAGAAAATTGAAACATTTCAACAGAATCGGAGAAAATTCTGCCACTCACAGCCAACTGGAGCAGCAGCAATAACAAATGTGAATGTATGAAATGTTTAAGCAGAAAACAAATAAGAATTTTGCTTTGCGGCTATTTATAGCCCACAAATATATTAAATCTTCAAATTAAACAAAATTTAAGTAGAAGCGAAATATGAAATATCACGTATATCACATATATTTAAAGTCATATATAGCTCTATTTTAATAAAGCATATTTTGAGTATCGATATTTAAGAAGTATACAAATATTATGTATGTATTCGAAATTTGGGCAGTATTTTGGGTTTTAGCAGAGCGTGTGAATTTGATTGATTTCGTTGAAAGTCTCAAGAATGTTGTCTTGTGGCAGACAAAGGGCAGCTGTCAGGAGTGACAGTGCCAAAAGTGTTGTATGTGGTTGAAAATTAAGTCATTATTCTTGGCAGCAGTCACGTTTGCTGTGGCTGCCACGTCAGCAACCTGGCCAGAAATCAGAGTCACACTTCACATCCGGCATCCTGCCACACGGCTGTCCTTACGTTGGGTTACCCCTTCTGAGCTGTGGAAGCTGCTGTTCCAGCTAAAGTGTCATCGGCAGTCGTGCGTCGCCAACCGCAGCCACCAGCAGTCGGTAGACTGAGAATGCTTCACGCATTCCTTACCAGCAACAGCAACAACAACAGAAACAAAAACAACAACGAGCCGCATCTCTCCATCCACATCCCTCCTATCGCCTGGCAATGACATTTACACTTCAGCTGCTGTTCTGTTTGAAAACTCACGTATATGATGAATGAACGAACGCCGCATCACTTCTAAAGCTCAAAGCCCGCCCCGTTTCACTTGGCAGCCCTTTTCGCATTCTATAGTCCATTAACTCTTGGTATTCAAATGCCGACCTTTTACTTCGCATTGGCCAATACAATTCCGCGCTTTGATGATCTTTCAGGCATCATTAAACCTGACTCTCTGGCTACGCTTTCAGCTGCAGGTGAGCCACTGACTGAAACAGAGTTAAGGTAATCCGCAATTTGGCATTGCCATATGAATTTGTAATATCCCTAATTACTTTGAGTTGAATTTGCAGTTATATGCCCCGCATTTGGACAATTTAATCTGTATCCCCTTTGCTCGGGCACAAGTCAATTAGGAGCGCCTCTATTTTTGGTTCAATGCAGCGCAAAATGAAAATTTTAATAATGCAAATGAGTTGCCGGCGGCTGCCTCAAATATTTGCCAGCTTGTTGCATGCGCTCGCTGCGGGCTTTGCTGTGCATCGCTGGCCACCCTTTTTTGTGGCTTGCATGACATTGGCTATGTGCCATCAGCGTCAGCAACGTCAACGTCCTAGTCAACGTCATCCTTATCATCGGCTTGTCGTTTTCAGTTTTCTGTTTGTAGCTTTCAGTTCTCAGTTCTCTGTTATTTTCATCGCCCTTGCCGGCTCGACGGCGACAACAATGGCCAACCGCTCGACAACAATCGCCAAGTTAATTGAATTGTGTTTACACTGCAGCACAGTGCACAGGGCTCTGACAGTGCCCCAAAAATCCATTTAACATGTTCAGCTTAGTTCTCGAAATACGCTTTTTTACTTTCTGTTTTAGGCGCTGCACTTGCCTTAAATAATCATTAGCCAACTATTCATGAACGAAACTCATTTTACACATTTTTTGTTGAAATCCTCATTAAAAGTTTTCACATAAAAGTTGCCTGTTTTATAGAGTTTCAGTTCAGTTCGGCTGGGAGTTTGGAGTATGACAAAAGTTCTGTGGCCAATAGCCAATCGCATTGAATGCAAGATGAGCGCAGCTGCTACGCGACTATTGTCATAATAATTAGTGTAATTAGCCGACTTACCTAGCCGCAAATCAAAATACGAAGCTCATCTAATCTAATCAATTGGCTGCTTAATCGCTCTATGAGTTCTATGGAGCTTAAGCGCTCTTTCGCGGAATTGTCGTTTGTTTGTATGTTTGTTTCAATTAGAAAGTTTCGTTATGTTTATGGCCGAGTGTACTGAAGCATCTATAACGCTAATGCGCCAAATGACTGCCGGACGGAGTGGGACATTCTCGCGTATCCTATGGTATCATCTCTCTGGGTATTACTATGAATACTTTTACAATACGGCATTGTCAGTGAGTGAAAAGATCTGCTATGCTTGCAAATATTCTAAAAGATAAATTCCTGCGTTATATAGGAAGAGATATTTATATACAAATTTTTTCATTAAAAATATTTTTTATGAATGTTATTAATTTTAAAAATATTATTAAATATTATATTTTAATTACAGTTTTTTTAGTACTATATATTTTACATTTATATTGTTATTAAACATTTATTTATATATGCAAAATTTGTTTAGCTATTCAATTAATTTTTTTCTTTTTTTTTACATTTTAAATAAATATTTAAATTTGTATATATGTATGTATATATATGTATATATTTTTTGGAGTTCTTAATTCATAATTAATTACTTAGTTCCGTTCAAATGCATATTATTTATTTATTAAAGAAGTATTATCTTTTAAATATAGTTTATTTAGCTATTTAATTTATTTTAAAATATATATTATAATATTTTTATTTTTATTTTAAACTAGGTTTATACAATTAATTAATTTATAGCAACTTCGTCATATAACATGTATTATAGTTTAAATACAGTTTAGCTATAAGCTTGATTTATTCAAAATATATACATATTTTAGGTACAGTCTTTAAAGTATATGTTTTAACCATAAGCCGTAGAGTATTCATAACGACAGGCAAAACTCTTTTAGTTTGCTCTAAAGTAATTTTGAGCGCGTGCGAAATGCAAAAGTTTTTGGGCAAGAGCGCGTCGAGACGAGCGACGCCGATAAAAAGTTTCGATTATAATCGCAAAATGTTCGAGGTTGGAGGCGTGCTTTGGTGAGTTTTACGACAGGAAATGGGAAATGTTTGCGAGCATGAGCATAAATCAGACGGCGTGCCAAATCTGTGGCTGCGGCAGAGGGCAAAAATTAGCTGGCAAGGCGTTCAGCAAAGTCTTCAACTACGAATATTTAATCAGAGTAAATATCCATTTTCTAAAATACAACTCAACTACTTGGGTGAGTCTAAATCAAGGCAGCTGCTGTTAACAGAAGTCGGCCATAAAAGTCACTCAAACGCCAACTGCGAGAAGGGAATAACAAACAACAGCTGTTCCGGT